TCCTCACCATCATCATCATCATCATAATCACCATCATCATCATCATCCACATCATCATCATCATCATCATCATCATGCGCCCCCTCCGTCTCAGCGCCCTCCCGCGGCTCCAGCGCCCGCCCAGTGCCCACTCCGCCCCGAACCACTTATTTCGGCCACCGCACCCCCCCCCGCTCGCCCCGTCCCCCGCCGCCCGTCTTCAGCGCCCCCCCGGCTCATGCGCCACGCCAGTGCCCCCTCCGCTTCGACCACTTTCATTTCGGGCACCGCACCCCCCCCGCTCCGCCCCCCGCCCCGCGGTCTCAGAGCCCCCCCGCGGCGCCAGGGGGCCGCCCCAGTGCCTCTCCGCCCGACCACTTTATTTCGGCACCGACACCCCCCATCCAGCTCCGCCCCTCCCCCGCGCCGTCTCAGCGCCCTCCCGCGGCTCCAGCGCCCGCCCAGTGCCCCCTCCGCCCCGACCACTTTATTTCGGCACCGCACCCCCCCCCGCTCCGCCCCCTCCCCCGCGCCGTCTCAGCGCTCCCCCGCGGCTCCAGCGCCCGCCCAGTGCCCCCTCCGCTTCGACCACTTTATTTCGGCACCGCACCCCCTCCCCCGCGCCGCCCCCTCCCCCGCGCCGTCTCAGCGCCCTCCCGCGGCTCCAGCGCCCGCCCAGTGCCTCCTCCGCCCCGACCACTTTATTTCGGCACCGCACCCCCCCTCCCCGCTCCGCCCCTTCCCCCGCGCCGTCTCAGCGCCCCCGCGCGGCTCCAGCGCCCGCCCCTGCCCTCCTCGCCCCCGACCACTTTATTTCGGCACCGCCACCCCCCCTCCCCGCTCCGCCCCTCCCCCGCGCCTTCTCACGCGCCCCCCCGCGCTCCGCGCCCGCCCAGTGCCTCCTCCGCCCCGACCACTTATTCGGCCACCGCACCCCCCTCCCCGCCCCGCTCGCCCCCTTCCCCCGCGCCGTCTCAGCGCCCCCGCGCGGCCCCAGCGGCCGCCCAGTGCCCCGCCCGCCACGCCCGCTTCTTGTGGCGGGGCCCCCCCCCCGCTCGCCCCCCCCCCGCGCCGTCTCAGCGCCCCCCCGCGCCCAGCGCCCGCCCAGTGCCCCCTCCGCTTCGACCACTTTATTTCGGCACCGCACCCCTCCCCCGCTCCGCCCCCTCCCCCGCGCCGTCTCAGCGCCCCCCCGCGGCTCCAGCGCCCGCCCAGTGCCCCCTCCGCCACGACCACTTTATTTCGGCACCGCACCCCCCCTCGCCGCTCCGCCCCCTCCCCCGCGCCGTCTCAGCGCCCCCGCGCGGCTCCAGCGCCCGCCCAGTGCCCCCTCCGCCACGACCACTTTATTTCGGCACGCACCCCCCCTCCCCGCTCCGCCCCCCTTCCCCCGCCGCCGTGTCTCAGCGCCTCCGAGCGCGGCTCCAGCGCCCCCGCCCAGTTCTGTGCCCCCTCCCGTCCCGACCACTTGTATTTCGGCAACGCACCCCTCCCCCGCCTCAGCACCTCCCCCGCGCCGTCCATGCGCCCCCGCGCGGCTCCAGGCCCGCTCAGTGCCTCTCTCCGCCCCTGGCATTTATTTCGGCACCGCCACCACCCCCCCGCTCCGCCCCCTCCCCCGCGCCGTCTCAGCGCCCCCGCGCGGCTCCAGCGCCCGCCCAGTGCCCCCTCCGCTTCGACTAGTTTATTTCGGCACCGCACCCCCCCCCCCGCTCCGCCCCCTCCCCCGCGCCGTCTCAGCGCCCCCCCGCGGCTCCAGCGCCCGCCCAGTGCCCCCTCCGCTTCGACCACTTTATTTCGGCGCCGCACCCCCCCCCGCTCCGCCCCCTCCCCCGCGCCGTCTCAGCGCCCCCCCGCGGCTCCAGCGCCCGCCCAGTGCCTCCTCCGCCCCGACCACTTTATTTCGGCACCGCACCCCCCCCCCCGCTCCGCCCCCTCCCCCGCGCCGTCTCAGCGCCCCCGCGCGGCTCCAGCGCCCGCCCAGTGCCCCCTCCGCCACGACCACTTTATTTCGGCACCGCACCCCCCCTCCCCGCTCCGCCCCCTCCCCCGCGCCGTCTCAGCGCCCCCCGCGCGGCTCCAGCGCCCGCCCAGTGCCCCTCCGCCCCGACCACTTTATTTCGGCACCGCACCCCCCCCCCCGCTCCGCCCCTTCCCCCGCGCCGTCTCAGCGCCACCTCCCCCGCGCCGTCTCAGCGCCCCCGCGCGGCTCCAGCGCCCGCCCAGTGCCCCCTCCGCCCCGACCACTTTATTTCGGCACCGCGCCCCCCCCCCCGCTCCGCCCCCTCCCCCGCGCCGTCTCAGCGCCCCCGCGCGGCTCCTGCGCTCGCCCAGTGCCCCCTCCGCCCCGACCACTTTATTTCGGCACCGCACCCCCCCCCGCCCCGCCCCCTCCCCCGCGCCGTCTCAGCGCCCCCGCGGCTCCAGCGCCCGCCCAGCGCCCCCTCCGCCCCGACCATTTTATTCTCTTGCACAGCTGTGTTCTAGAGCTCGGACCTCTTTATTTTCGTTCGTCGTTCGTTCGTCATTCGCCGTTCGTCCCCCCCCGGCCACAGAAGGAAACTCCTGGGAGAAGGAGGCGAACGCCTCCTGTCCCTCGCAGCTCCTTGGTGCAAGAGCCAGGGCACGCGTGCCACTTGTTTTATTATTATTCGCATTCGCCTTCTTCGTAGTATTATTCCTAGTCTTCTTCTGATTAGCAGTAATGTTCGTATTAGTTCTCTTCTTATGTTTACTATAATTGCTACCCTGTTTATCGTAAGTCGCATTCTTAGTCTCATTACTTGTCGTAGTAGCCGTCTTGTTCTTGGTCTTCTTATCAGTTTGTCGGCGAGTTGTTTTCGTATGGTTCTAATTTTTAGCATGCTTTTTCTCAGTGGCATTATTAGCTCCAATCGTACTCATATGCCTATTTAATGTTTATTAGTATACGTATGTGCATTAGTCTTCTCATCCCATGTCGTTTTCATATGCTTATCAGGTTTCATTGTATCATATGTGTAGTTCCATGTTTCTTTGATGTGCCGGTTGTTTTGTTATGTGCTGTTTTTTTTTCTCATTCGCGTTCTCATTGTTAGTGTTATTATTATTCGTGTTCTTAGTAGCACTATCATTATTAGTCTTGCTTTTCGGATTGTATTTGAGGTGGAGGAGGAGGAGGAAGAGGAGGAGGAGGAGGAGGAAGAGGAGGAGGAGGAGGACATGGAGGAGGAGGAGGAGGAGGAAAAGGAGGAGGAGGAGGAGAAGGAACAGGAGGAGGAGGAGGAGGAGGAGAGGAGGAGGAGGAGGAAGAGGAGCAAGAGGAGGAGGAGGAGGAGGGGGATGATGATGCTGATGATGCTGATGATGATGATGACGATGATGGTGATGATGCTGATGCTGATGCTGATGATGATGATGATGATGATGATGATGCTGATGATGATGATGATGATGATGATGATGATGATGATGGTGGTGGTGGTGGTGATGATCGATTCTTCCAGATTCTTCCGGATTGTCCCAGGTTGTACCAAATTCTTCCGAATTCTCCCAGACGCCATCAGGTTCTCTGCGGATCGTCCGACAGGCGCCCAAGCGTCAAGCGCCGGCAAGATCTTAATGAAAGCAGTTCGCTTTAGGCCAGCAGTTCACTGAAGGCATTGCTCTGCTTTCGGTGGGGCCCAGCAGCTTCTGCTTTCGGTGGGCAACATGTTCTGCACTCGCTGGCCCTCCCCCTCTGAAGCAGCACCCACTCAGACGCCCGAAGGGGGGGGGGGAGGAGGAGGAGGAGGAGGAGGAGGAGGAGGAGGAGGAGGAGGAGGAGGAGGAGGAGGAGGAGGAGGAGGAGGATGACGACGGCGAGGAAGGAGGAGGAGGAGGAGGGAGGGGAGGGAGAGATGGGGGGATGCAGGCGAAGATACAGGGGAGGAGGAGCAGGAACCGCAGGACAGGATGGAGGAGGCAGGGCGAGGAGGAGAAGGGGGGGGGGGAGGAGGAGAGGCCAGGTGGCCCCAGCAGGGGAGGCCAGGCAGCCCCAGCGCGGGGCCCACGAAGGTCCCAGGAGGGCCCCCCCCAGGAGGAGACCGAGTGCTCCTGACTTGTGCGCTGGCCGCTCCTCGAGCTTCCCTCGCCTCCTCGCTCCTCGTCCCCTGCTACCCGGCCCCTCCTCGCCCCGTCTCTCCTCGCTGCCTGGCCATCTCTTGTCCCTCCTCCTCGCTCGCTCACTCCTCCTCCTGGCCCGCTCGCTCCTCCCGCCCTGGCTGCTCGCGCCCCCCTTCCGCCCTCGTCCCTCCTCGGCCTTCAATCCCCCCCTCTCCCTGCCCCATCTCGCGTCGGTCGTTCGGTCGTCGCTTCCCCCCTTCTCGCTGATCGTTCCTCGCTCCTCATCCCTCGATCTTCTCACGCGCAGCAAGTTGCGTCAGGTGTCATAAATGGCGACAAGAAGCATCCTGCAGCATCAAGCGTGGACAGCGAACACAGCAACAGCACACAGCGAGAAAGAAGCAGTAGCGGCAGTGTTAGAGCACTGCAACATGCAGCAGACAGCTGCATCTTGCACTAACACACATCAAGGATAACTGGGCATCCCAAACTCCATGCAACCCACAGCAGCAACAGCAAGCAACTGTGGCAAACATTACTGGCAGCACGCAACAGCGACAGCATGCAGAAAGCAGCAAACAATACTAGGCGTGCAGCACCAACCAGTATCAGCCAGTGGCAGCACGGAACATCGCCAAGCGCCAACCGACAAGCCGCATTGAACAGCAGCACGCAACGGTCATCACCAGCCAGACGCGACGCGGAATAGCAGCATGTATGCGGAAGTTGCAGCAAGCGGCGCCAGTCTTCAGCAAGCAGCAGGAAGCGGCAGCAAGTGGACGGGCAAACAAGTGAGCAAGTCAGCAGAAAGCTACCAGGTCCCCAGACTAGCAGCCACGCCAGCAGGACAGCATGCGAGCTGACAATCATGCAACATATACCCGTGCAAGCGATGGCGGTGGCTCCTCCGTGGCTGGAAGTCCACCCGTCAGTCCCAGTCAGCTACGCCGCTGGGATCAGCGCGTGCGAGAAGGGCAAACAGTGGCAGCGAGCCCTGTCGCTGCTCGGTGAGATGGTCGAGGCGAAGCTGGAGCCTGACTCCATCTCCAGCGGGGACGCGCATGAAGAAACCATATTTCCATCAGGGTACCCTAGATGTCTTCGCTCCGCGCGCTGCTCGGTGACTTCCAGCGGCCGTTGAAGAAGCTGCTGCGTTCCGAGGTGCTCTGGGTTCCCCCCCGCCCGTGTGTACCTCGCGCGCGGGTTGTCAGGGCCAGGCTTATGCGATGGTTTCTGGCGGCCGCGCCCGCACTGTGCACCACAGTGCCCACCTCCGTGCGTCCAAGCAACACCCCCTTAGGCGGCAGGCTCGCGCGTCCCAGTGGAGCTCCAGGAGAGCCCCAGGACGACACGACGACGACGACGACGACGACGACGACGACGACGACGACTACGACGACGACGACGACGACGACGACGACGACGGCGGACGCCAGAAGTGGACGAGGCCCTCCGAGCGCCCCAGACGGCCCGAGAGTTCCCAGGCGCTTCCAGAGGCACCCCCCTGGGCGCCTGAGCCTCCCAAGGGGAGTCCCCCGCGGGCCCCGAGGGGGCTGGCGCGGGACGGCCAGGTCGGAGGCTCTGTACAGCGGGCGCGGCCAGAGCAAAGAGCGCGCCAGCCTTCTCGGTCAAGACTGGCTTCAGCAGGGAGCTGTGTTCTAGAGCTCGGAGCCGTCGTCGTTCGTTCGCTCGTCGCCCCCCCCCCCCCCGTGGCCCCCGTGCCCCTGCCTCCTCATGATGGTCGTGCTGGCCCTCACATGGCCTCCGCATCCCGCCTCGCTTGGTGCAAGAGCCAGGCATGGGTGTCACTTGTTGGTTGAGCCCGTCACGCCCGTTACGTGGGGTCGCTCTCCCCCTTTCCCGTAACGGTATCGAGCGTACGCGTGGGGAGTGCCAGCGTAACGGTATGGAGCGTACGCGTGGGGAGTGTCAGCTCCTTCTCAGGGATTGCTTTGTGCTCACAGGCATGCTGTGGTGCTGACAGGCGTGCTGTGGTGCTCACAAGCATGTTGTGGCGCTCGCGCGCACACGGTTCGTTGGGAATACCAAACACGCAGAGAATGCGGTGTTGTTCCTGCTGCTCTTGATGTTCCTGCTGCTGATCCAGTGCTTCTCCTGCTGCCCCTCTCCTCCTCCTCCTCCTCCTCCTGCTCCTCCTCCTCCTCCTCCTCCTCTGGTGCTCTTCCTGCGGGTTCGCCTGCTGGTCCTTCCGTGCTCCTCTTGCTATTCTTGCTATTGCTCCTGTTGCTACTGCTCCTCTGGCTACTGGTCCTCCTGCTCCTTCTCCTGCTGCTCCTCCTTTTCCTCTGGCTGCTCATCCTGCTGGTCCTCTTGCTGCACGTTTCGCTGCTCCTCGTGCTACTGCTACTGCTGCTCTGGCTGCTCCTCCTGCTGCTCGTTTTGCTGTTCCTCCTCCCTCCTGGTTTCTCCTCCTGCTCCCTCCTGTTGCTGCTCCCCTCCCTGCTCCTGTTGCTTCTCCTGCCGGCTCTCTGGCCATCCCTCCTGCTGCTCCTTCTGCTGCTTCTCCTGCTTCTCCTGCTGCTGCTCCCCCTACGGCCCCTCCTGCTCTTCCTCCTGATTCTCTTCTCCTGCTCCTCCTGCTGGTCATCCTGATGGCTCTCCTCCTCCTCCTCCTCATCCTCCTCCTCCTCCCTCTGTTGCTCCTCCGCCTTCTCCTCCTTTGTCTTCTGCTGCTGCTCTGGCTGCTCATGCTGGCTGCTCCTCCTGCTGCCCTTCCTCCCTGCTGCTGCCGCTCCTCCTTCTGATGCTCTTGCTCCTCCAGTCTTTCTCCTATTCATGCTCGTCATGCTCTTCTACCCCCCCGTCCTGCGTTCTGCCCCCCGTCCTTGCGTTCAGCCCCCGTCCTTGCGTTCTGCCCCTCCTCCTCTTCCCTCCCTCTTCTAATGTTGTGTTAGATTTATTGCAGCGGCCGTTAGGGCCTTAAGGTAGGGTTTATGATGCAATGCGCAACCACGGACCGATACGTTTTGTGGGCAAGTTCGTATCTTTCGCCGCTTGGTTTTCTCCTGTTTTCTTTCCTTCATCCTCCTCCTCCCCCTCTGCTCCGAGTCGGCGGCCCCGATTTCGGCCACGTTCGCTGGACAGCGTCTCGCAGCTGACTGCCTGCTGCCCCAGTTTCGCAACTTGGCCTGGGTCAGGGACATTTGTCCGCAGGTCCTTGTTGTTTAAGGGAAGTATCTTTCTGTGTCCGAAAAAATGCTCCTGCTCTTCCTGCTCTTCCTCCCCCTTCTTCTCCTGCTCCTCCTTCTGCTGCGGTGCTCTTTCTCCAGTGCTCCTTCTCCTGCTGTTCATTCTGCTCATCCTGCTTGCTGCTCCGGTGCTCCTCCTCCCTGCTCCTTCTGCTGCTCCTGGTGCCCCTCCTGGTGATATGATGTTCCTCCTGCTGCTTCTCTTGCTGCACCTCGTGATGCTCTTCTTGCTGCTCTTTTTGCTGTTCCTGCTGTTGCTCCTCCAGCTGCTCCTCCTGCTGGTCCTCCTGTTGCTTCTCATTTCCTCCTACTGCTGCTCCTGCTGCTCCTCCTGCTGCTCCTGCTGCGGGTCCTGCTGTTCCTCATGCTGCACCTCCTGCTGCTGTTTCTTCTATTTCCACTGCTAGTATCGTTTTTGTTCCATCTATTCATATTTCTACTACTACTACTACTACTACTACTACTACTACTACTACTACTACTACTACTACTACTACTACCACTACTACTACTACTATCACACCTACTACGAGTACGGTCTTAGTACTAGTAGTGCTACGACTACAAGTACTACGCCCACTATTATTATTACTACTAATACTACCACTATTACTATTATTATTACTACTACTACTACTACCACTACTGCTACTACTACGACTACGGCTACGACTACTACTACTACCACTACTACTACTACTACTACTACTACTACTACTACTACTACTACTACTACTACTACCACTACTGCTACTACTACGACTACGGCTACGACTACGACTGTTACTACTACTACTACTACTACTACTACTACTGCTACTACTGCTACTACTACTGCTGCTCCTACTATTACTACTACTACTAATAATAATACTACGGCTACAGCTGCTACTACTACTACTACGACTACTACTACTACGACTACTACTACCACTACTACTACTACTACTACTACTACTACTACTACTACGACTACTACTACTACTACTACTACTACGACTACGACTACGACTACTATTACTACTCCTACTACTACGAATACGTCTACCATTACTACTCCAACTACTACTAATACGACTACAACTACTACTACTACTACTACTACTACTACTACGACTACTGCTACGACTACGGCTACGGTCAGTACTACCACTACAACTGCTACTACGACTACTACTACTGCTAATATTTTTTATTAGTACTATTCCAACTACTACTACTGCTACGACTGGTAGTAGTAGTAGTAGTAGTAGTACTACTACTACTACTACTACTATTACTCATACTACTGGCGTCATTACTATGACTATTCCCATTACTACTACTCCTACTACCAGGACTGCCAACGCTACTACTACTACGACCACCACTATTATTACTATTAGTACTACTAGTAGTACGAGCACCATTTCTACAATTTCTACTCCTACTGCTATCACCTGTACCACAGCTGATACATAACTACTACTTCAACCGCAACAAAGAACTATTGCCACTGCTACTACTGCTACTATTACTACTGCTACTAGTATTACTACTACTACAACTACTGTTGCGACTACTGCGGCTACAGCTATCATTGCTAGGACTATTACTATTACTACGGCGGCTACTGCTACCACGACGAGTATTTTTTATTACAACTACTACGACTACCGCTATTATTTCTCGTGCTACTACGATCGCGACTCCGACTACTACTTCGACGACTACTACTACTACTGCTGCTACTACGACTACTACCACGACTATTACTACGACTACTGCTACTACTACTGCTACTGCTGTTTCTACGCCCACTCTTGATATCACCATGACTACGGCGACGACTACGACGGTTGCAGTTGTTACTGGCACAGGTGATATTGCATGCGTGCGACTACTACAACTTCATATAGGAATGCAACTTAGTAGTAGTAGTCGTAGTAGAAGCAGTAGTTGCTGTAGATGTAGTAGTCGTAGCCGTACTACTAGTCGTAGTAGCAGTGGTAGTCGAACTTGTAGTAGTGCCAGTATCAAAAGTAGTATTAGTCGTAGTAGTATTATTAGTAGTAGTAATCGTAGTAGTAAGAGTAGTAGTAGTAGTAGTAGTAGTAGTAGTAGTAGTAGTAGTAGTAGTAGTATTAGTAGTAGTAGTAGTAGTAGCAGTAGTAGTAGTAGTAGTAGTAGTAGCAGCAGTAGTAGTAGTGGTAGCAGTAGCCGTAGTAGTAGTAATCGTGCGAGGAGTAGCAGTAGTGATATCCAAAATGCAACACCTGCCACTACCACTGTTACTACTAGTGTTACATTTTCTTGTGCGACGATTTCTTCTCCTACTATCACTACTACTACTACTACTACTACTACTACTGCTAATAGTGCGACGACCATTACCGTCACTGCTTCTACCAAAGGTACGACCACGACTACCGTGCTCACTGCGACTCCTCTGGCAAATATTTCCCGTATTCGGCCTTACTGGGCTTACGGATGATATGTTTACGATTGCGTCGCATTGCGTACTAATCCGTTCACCCGTACCACTGCAAGTATCAACGCTGTTATTTTTCATTAACGCGAATATTGCTATTATTACTATTACTACTACTACTACTACTACTACTACTACTAGTACTACTACTGCTGCTACTGCCACTACTACTACGATTACTTCTTCAACTTGTAGTATCACGACCATTACGAATCCTACGAGAAGTATTTTTTTCAAATACGATCACGATTACCACTACGACTTCTACTACTAATGCGGCTA